TATAAATATGTATTTTTACTATAACTATTGAAATGTATTGCAAGCTGCTGACACATCCCCATCATCTCTCAAAGTTATGAATCTAATCAAAGTTTAATATTTCAAAAACCAGACAAAGCACAAGTACCAAAAGTCATAGCAAGGATCACATGATTGAGCTTTACAATGGCATTAGTAGGACAAAGTACAGTATATGCAGCACTAGTTTTGTCCCAAAAATTAACAATAACTATAATAATAATAATAATAATGATGCAGAAAAACAGAATGACAATAGTGTGCAATTTCACTTTACACTAATAAGTATTTACACTGCGTTTTCACAGGAAATGCAATTGTTCTAGTTTATTTTTATATTTATGAGGATGGTGGTGAAGAGGTTAGAGAAGGTGGGTCTGTGATCGGAAGGTCGCCGGCTCAACTCCCCGGACCGACAACATCAAAATGTGGGTAGAAAAGGTGAAACACCCACACCTGTCTCCACCCTCATTTGCTCCACTCTGCGCCCTTGAGCAAGGCCCTTAACCCCCACCATCTGCTCCCAAACAGGTCTTTATTGAAAACTAGTCCTCGTGACTCAGTGAGGCTACCTGTATAAATAAAGGTTAAAATGAAAAAAAACATTTATATAATATATTGTGCCAGTTATTCTATGTATCTTATTTCATTGTTTTATGTGTTTTTACTGTATTTTTCCCAGCTGCATTGCATTGATAAATACACTTTTTATGGCATTTTGGACAACGAGGGCTATTTTCAAAATGTACTACAGAAATAAACTTTGACTTGACTTAAACGCAACAACAGCAGTGTTGTTGACGGATGCACGAATAATGCACGATCTAATGGATTAAAAATGAAGCGTCATTTCAAATTTTAAACTTGAAACACATTTGGGGTTTTATTGTTTACAGAACATAACTAAAGACGTAGCATTTCCTGAATGACGTCCATAACATTCATATTTTTGCTCACACGACACACAGTCACAACTGCAATAAAATAATAAATGTTTTTTGCATCGAGCTGCTCAACAGTGGGAGCCTCCTTTGTTATATGTTTTTTTCTATTTAAATGCAGCAAATACTTTTGATAAATGACAAGTCCAGAATACTCCATGGTAAATATCTCTATTATATTACAGGGTTGTACTTGCAAAACATGCACATTACGTGGTTTGGCGTAGGGGTCTGAAATAATCAAGGTCTTCTCTGAGGACGACATCATCTGGGTAGATTGTTCTGCATTAATGGTTCCTCGCACAACGGGCACATTACCCATCCCACGAGCACCCCGTTGCTCTCACAGGTGCTGTTTTTTGAGCAACGATATAACACCGGAAGCATCAGCCCCTCTTTGGCTCAGACGTTACAGAGTCCACCGTTTAATTCAAGTGATGATTTATCAGACTCCAGCACAGAGTTCATCCTGACTGGGGTCAGGAGCAGAGAGGCAGCAGAGTTTCTGTTTGTTTTCCAGTTTTACCTTTCACGGATCGAACAACAGGCTGTGTTTACCGACGAGGGTTTTTGTTTCATATCCTGACCTTCAGTGCATCCATTTATCCAGTTTCTGCGAGGCCGTTTTGGGAATCATCACCCACTGCCTAAAGCTAGGTGATAATGTTTTTGCTTGTGTTCGCATGCACACGTATACGTTTCACCTCCTGAATTACTGAAGTTTGATGAAGTGCATCCACAACTGATTTACTTTTGCAGTCAGTCGTGTACAAGATGGCCACCACAGATGCCATTTGGTGCTTTTAGCTACAGTTCTGCTACGTTTCAAGTTTCAAGGTTCAAGGTGACTTTATTGTCATTTGCATCACATGTGGTACATGAGGTGGAATGAGATCGTGTACTCAAGGTACCAGTTACACCCAAAAACAGCAATAATATAAAGTATAAAAAAGAAACAGTATACAAGAATCTAAGATACACACTAAACAATAATAATATAATAAAATACGGTGTATTAAACAGCAGCCTGAACATGAGTCTGTTGTGAGCAGATGAGTATAAATACAGCAGCTCATGGGTAAGAATCAGCAGCACAGATAAAGTGACAAATCACCAATTAAAGTGGCATTAATGATTTTCCTGTAAGGGATTCATGAGTCCAACAGCCTCAGGGTAGAAGCTGTTCCTCAGTCTAGTGGTTCTACACTTAATGCTCCTCAACCTCCTGCCTGAGGGGAGCGGAGCAAAAAGTGTGTGTGCTGGGTGTGTAGGGTCCTTCATGACGCAGGTGGTCCTCTTCCTACATCTGGAGGTGTAGATGTCTGTGATGGTGGGGAGACTGACTCCAACAGTCTTCTGTGCAGCCTTCACCACTCTCTGGAAAGCTTTTCTTTCTGCAGCTGTGCAGCCTCCATGCCACACGTTTATGCTGGAGCACAGGATGCTCTCCACTGCACACCTGTAGAAGGAGGTGAGGACTGAGCTTCTCAGTCCAGCTTGACCTTAGTTAACCTTTAATTTAGCTTACTGCTAGCATTTATCACAATTAGCCTTTAGCTAGCCTGTTGCTACTTTTCACTTGTAGCAGCCATTTCACAGCTTTTTGCCAGCATTTTTCTACTTTGAGTTTTTAGCAAGTGGCTCACTCATTTTAGCTGTATTCTGCTTTTATAGCTCTCAGCTAGTGTTCTGCTTGTTTTCCTGTTTTTTTTTTTTAATTTTTTTTATTTTAAGAACTTAGTTTCAGCTTCTTCAACACATTTCAGCTCAGCTCTCTGTATTTATTGCATTTTCACAGAAAATGTAATTTCCCCACTTTAAAATAGATAAATGTGTTAATTTTATGACACAAGAATGTTAAAAACACAAATGATTACATTATTCTTCCATTAGATTTTACATAAACTGTTTTGATGAGTCTGAAGATAAAAACAGTAGAAGACACTACTATTCAACCAGTTTTAATAAAACAACATTTTTTTTAGTTTCTGAGCTCTTTATCTTTTCATTTAGCTTAATTTCAAATGTCACACTTATTTAAACAGCTGAATACTGATCTCCATTCATCTTTACAACCAGGTGAGCAGTGATGTGAGAAGTCCATCTGCTGTGATCCAGTAAAACCATCTGAAGACAGAAAGCAATAAACGCGCTGTTCTCTTCTTTTTGCTGTGAAGCATCAAAGGAAACACCGTATGAAAGACAAATCTCAAATATGTAAACCAGATTACAAAGACACGCTCCCTCCTGAGAAGAAAAGCCTCTGACCTGGTTACGTTTCAGCGTCTTATTTAAAAAACACCAACTCGTGAATAGATCATGGGATCCTTTCAGTACGTCTGAGCAGCGCATGAAGAATAAAGAATAAACACGTCTGATGGGACCACACAAGCACCCAGTCCTCCACATGAGAGCAAAAGTCCTTGTCCCTGCGAGACTTAGCCCCGACGACAACAAGCACAATTTAACAAATAAAAACATTAGAAATTTGGTTTCGTAAAGGTTTTAAGCTAATCGTCTATCTTTGATAATTCTACGTGTTTATCACATAAGAAAAGAAAAGCATTGGCATACTGGAGTCAGACGTGTCTGTCTGTTAGCAAAATATTTCATCATCCACTACTTGGATTTATAGGTAATTTTCAAAATCAAATCGACTGACGTGCATTTGTAGATGATGCCCTACTGCAGCCAACTTCGTTTATGACGGCCGCCACCGTTAGGCGACCGTATGAAACACAAAAATGGAATCAACTCGGCTAATTCTACAGATATTGGGCTAAAGTTTGGTGTGGTAGTAGCGGAGAGTCATCGTCCACACATACTCTGCGCACTAACAGATCTTGCAAGCGCTAACGATGTTGCATGAGATGGCGAAGAATAACATCTTTTACAAGATTTGCAGCCAAAATTCATTTCCATAAGATAATTTAGTTTAAATCTCAAATGGAATAATAATAGGAAATGTTGTGTCTGTATTTTGTGTTTCTCCCCTCAAAATCTTTTTTTTTTTAAATGCCCACAGATCTCTAGTTAATTTTGCACCAGCCTATCTGATTTGATGTTTGTTATTCCTAAATCAAGAAGATTTAAAAAAAAAAAAAAACAAGCACAAAAACACATAAACGGTTTTCGATCACTCACCTAATTAACTTTGTTGCAATTACCAGCGCTGACTACTAACTGATTTATTGCTCTGCATGCCAAAATAAGAAGGGGAATAACCAATTACCCCATCACAGATACAAACTGGTAAATAAGCTCAGAGTCAACAGCTGTGTTGTTCTTCCTCCATGTAGCTACCGCACTATCAAAAATGGATGCAGTCTTCTCTGGCTTGTCAGTGAACAAAGCAAAAACAAGCTTGTTAACCTAATCAGATTTATTGACGAGTTTGGCCCTGAGCTTAGTCAAAGACCGCAGCTACAAGCTCCATCTTTAATCTGATGAACAAATTAAAAGAAAGGATCATTTCCCCTGACCAACGCACTAATTAACCATATTTCTTATGAATGCTGTGTTGGGAATGTAGCACAAACAAATGTCTGCTCATATCAGGAGTTAGCCTTAAAATAAAAATAAAAACGTATTTAATGATTTAATAAAATAGTGTTCAGAGCAGCTAAACATGCTACAACTGTGATCAACTGGTGGCTCACGGGCCACGTTCAGACTGCTGAACATTTTAAGTGTGAAGACCCTGGTGCTACAAGATGGACATAAAGATAACTCATTTATAAATACTATACAACTGTTGTTTGTTACATTCTAAAAGTAAAACATAAAATAAATTGTTGGCACATTTTGGACTCTCATCTTGATCAAGCACGAAGGCGACAGTGGACAGGAAAAACTCCCTCATGAGCAAGAAACCTTTAGCAGAGCCAGGCTCAGGATAAGCGCCATCTGCTTCGACTGGCTGGGATTGAGAGGAACAGGAAGGAGGAATAGATACACAATGGCAGGTCGAGAATCACAAGTTAAGACAGAAATAGTATCAAATGAAAACTATTCAATTTTATGCATTAGTAACTACCGTACTGTATTAATTTGAAGAAATTAAGTCAATTTGTCCTCCAAGCTTATAGCAGCCTAACAAGACAATCCTAACTATAGGATTTATCAAAAAGGAAAGTCTTCAAACTGGACAACGTGTCAGCCTCACGGACAGAAACTGGAAGTTGGTTCCACAAGAGAGGAGCCTGATAACTGGAAGATCTTCCTCCCATTCTGCTTTTGGAAACTCTAGGAGCCACAAGTAAACCTGCAGTCTGAGAGTGAAGCGCTCTGTTAGGAAAGTATGGAACAATAAGATCTCGAATATAAGATGGAGCTAGGTTGTTGAGAGCTTTGTAGGTTAGAAGTAAGATTTTAAATTCAATTCTGAATTTGACAGGGAGCCAATGGAGAGAAGCTAAAACTGGAGAGATATGATCTCTCCCACTAACTCCAGTTAAGACTCTGGCAGCAGCATTTTGGATCAACTGAAGATGTTTTAAAGAAGTTTTTGGACACCCAGATAACAAACCATTGCAATTAAAACCTTTATCGGGGTATAAAAGCTTAGCTTTTAAGTAGCCATTTGCAACCTTCAGCTGGCCTTTTTGTGCTAGTATTTATAGTTTTTGACTACTTCTAACCTTTTGCTGATTTTTAGCCTCTTGCTATTTTTAGCTAGTCAATTGATACCTTTAACTTTTAGCTTATGTTTTGTTACAGTTGCCTAGTGTGTTTTATTCCTTTTAGCTTGTGTTTTGCTTTTTTTGTTGTAACAGCTCAGTTTCAGCTTCTTCATTAAACGTCAGCCGTCATTCAGCATCTGGCATTTTTTTCATGAATTTCAGATTATCTTGTTCTTCTTTTCGTCAAACTCGTGGTATATTTTTGAGTACCTTATTTTAATGACATATTGTCTGTGCAATGTTTGCCTATTTCAACAATTTATCTGAAAACTGTTAGTTTTCAGGAGGATTTCAGAGAAAAATCCCACTGTGTGGCTGAAGTTAACCAAGTGGCTAACAGGCTAATGAACCACTAGCACGAGCCAATCAATACATCCAGCTCAGTGTATTATTAGCGTTGTTGTGTCACAGATATTTCAGTCACACATTGAACAAGAAAGCTGCTCAAACTATCCATTTCTATTGTGGTTATGAATATCAATAACATTTATTTCCAGTTATTTTTGGCTACAACGAACCACGAGCGAGGGACTAAAGAGCTGCCGTCTACATCCTACAGGATTTCAGACGTCATTCATCAACGAAGAAGAGTTGGACTTTTCAGGGAAATTACAATAATTTGTCTGTCACCTATGTGTTATATGACGATGATTTAAAGCCCCCAAAATGTGAACATGAAACTGTTATTGAGGTCGATTTTGTTCCATGAAGATAGGAGCACGTCTTCTGGCTTGAAGGTGACACGGACAATAAATCTTCTGGATTCATTTGGAGGTGGAAAAGTTGCTTCGTTAGCAAAACCGTATGCTGTGAAATCCCTACGGGTGATCGTGACACACTCAGAAGTAAGAGTAGCTGGTTGTGGTCCGACGCCATTAAAAGGCGGGTGATCATGTAACTGTTATGTGTTGTGGGTGTGCGCGTTCTTTTTGTCTGTCTGTTAGCAAAACATCTCAGCAACGAATGGATGAATTTTACTAAACCTTACAGGAAATAATCACTGCATGTGCATCTACGACTAACTAGTGAACCTGACTTAATATGGCCGCCACAGTCAAGTCAACGTAGCAAACATATAAATGGCTACAGCTGTTTTACAGATACTAGGATGAAATTTGGAGTGGTTGTGGCTGAGAGTCAACCCCAACATATACTAAGAAAGCTAACAGATCTTGTGGTTTATTTAGCATTACCTGTTAGAACTAGCCCTCTCTGTCTGTTAGCAAAATATTACATTAACCACTGGATAGATTTAGATGAAACTCTCAGGACATAATCGATGGATGAACCACGGACAACTTGATTCAAGATGGCCGTCACAGCTTATCGACCACACAAACGCAGCTGTAACGCACTCAGATTTACAGACAACGAGCTAAAATTTGGTGTGGCAGTAGCTGAGACTGGCCCCAATGCATACACTGAGCACTTCCATACAGTGGGAGACGGTTTGTGTGGTGGGTGATAAGCATTCCTTCAAGGAATGCTACTCTCATGCTGAAAGAGTTCAGCCTAACGACACATTCATGTTAGGAGCGGAATATCTTGTTTAGCTTCTTGAGAAGTTATCCCTCCAGTTCGTTAAAGAAGCTGAACGTGTGCACGATGGAGCAGATGTGGAGCAAAGTCAAACATGAGGGAAAAACCTGCAGACAGAAAACATGCCCAAACAATAAGTCTAAACTAAGATATTGTTTAATTGTTATGCTATTTTTGCAGCAGGTGTTACCTGATCTGTTTTTATTTTTGCTCCTAACCACTAAAACACTTAAAGTCCTATTTGGCCCACTTGGTCCCGGGTTGCAGACCCATTAGAATGATTGCTGTAATCATGTTTCACTCCTGCAGCACCATCTCTACACCTGCAGCATCGACAGGCACACAATTCAGCACCAATTCACGGCTAATAAAAATCTCTGGGACAACATCTGATATCGATTAGTTTCTGGTCGCTGGAGGGGTTGGAAGTGTGTGCGCGCGTGCGTGTGTGTGGGTGTGTGTGATGGGGAGCCTTACACACCAAATGCCCTTGTCATTCGTGAGGTTTGGATTAAAACAACATGTTTGGATTGCTCTAATCTAATCCCTCCTTCTTCATCAGTTCAGCGGTGAAATGAGAAGATGGAGCAGAAACGGGTGGAGGAGGAGGAGGAGGAGATCTACCTGCTTCATTAAATGAATCCAGAGAAGAAGAAGAAGAAGAAGAAGAAGAAGCCACAGCCCCACGGAGCGTCGACACACTGCTGCTGCTGCGTGGAGTGTGCGTGCGCGCGCGCGCTCTGACTGCTTGTTTAAATAGGACGGTACCGAAAATGTCCGGACGAGATCCGACCCCCCCGCGGAATATCAATGAGCTGCTGAACGCGTCAGGTGTTTGGACAGAGGAGAAAGATGGACTCACCTGCTCCACGCGCCGCTGCAGGACGCTCCATCCCGAGATTTCCCTCCACGCCATGCCAGATATTCCTGCTCCGTCTGGGAGGGGAGTATTAGATATTCCTGGCGGGTGCCGGAGACCAAACGCACGCGCGCGCGCGGGGTCTCCTGCGCTCCTTGTCCGCTGCCTCGCTCTGGTCTGAGCCTGTCTTCGCGTGCTGCTTCTTCTTCTTCTTCTTCGCTTTTTTTTTTTTTTTTTTT